CTTGTTTGTGGTATAGAGTAATAATAATAACTAATGTATTGACCGTAGATTTATAGATTACTCCCCAGCATGAACGAAGTCTTTGAAAGCTAACGCAGTGTTTCGTAACTACAGAGAATCAAGTAAATGGAGTTAGAGGAATCAAGTAGATGGAGTTAGAGGAATCAGGAGAGGATAGGAGTTAGAGGAATTCAAGTAGATGGAGTTAGAGAATCAAGTAATGGGAGTTAGAGGAATCAAGTAGATAAGTTATTTTTGCTATAAGATGCTGCTCTGCACGATGTCTACTCAGTAACACCTTAATCTAAAACGTGGCTTTTTCTGTAATAGATATTTCATTTTTTCCCTAATTGATTTCAATTTGTATATTTTTATTTGATTTCCTGTACATACTTGTCCATTTTTATGCCAATTCGCATCGATAACAATCGATAGATACTCAATGAACAGCAGTATGACTGACAACGGCATGTCTGACTGGCGTACTGTTTTGCGACGGTGCTGCCAGTCCAGCCAGGTCAATTGCGTATCCGGTCGAGTAACTCTTGCTTACTAATAATTCAGCCGCGCCTTCTCGTCCCTCAGAATGCAAACGTCGTAGGCGTCGCACATGCTCTTGCACCGTTCCGTTCCTAGCGCTTGGAAGGTGCACCGCCGGCACTCCGTGTGGAAGAACCAGCATTTTCTGTCGCAGGGAGAAAAGAAACTAGTGGCGACCTCCTGAAGCCAAAAACGATGTTGAATAAAACCACATAAATCGGTTGTCCTTAAAGTATCTCGCACACTGCTCAAGAACGACAAATAAATATACTGTCGTGTATCAATGCAAACAAATTTAACAAATACTGTAATAACGTAGTACACTACAATAGTATACATACGATACAACACGTATTTACACATCATATCAAGAAAAGTAGCTCTCCGCCTAACACGTAAAGGACCAATATTTAATGGCGGGTGGCCTCTTCCGTGGAGCCATGCTGTCGCATGATGCGCTGGATCGTAAGCAGTAAAGCAATGAGTGCGAATATTCAGTCGCCATGGGTAATATTAGAATACACAGGATAATACAATTAAAAATTTTGCATTTTTTCAAAATCGAAACTGTCTTGTTTTTTTTTCAGAATGTATCTAACAAAACCACACACAAATCTCACATGACCGAGGACTGTGTAGTTTTCGTTTACATTTATGCGCGTATTGGAAGTCAGTAATATAGATGCAGTGATATTTTTACGTTCTAATGATTTTTGCAATATATGTGAATCAACTTAGGATTTTGGTACTAGGAGAATGGCAAACACGTGATTAATAAAGGAGATGTGTCGATAACTTTCCCAATTTCTCTCTCTCTCTCTCTCTCTCTCTCTCTCTCTTTCTCTCTCTTTCTCTCTCTCTCTCACACACACACACATACACATACACAAATTTTATGGCACCACATGAATTCAGGCAGAGGTGGATCTTACCACTGTCGGTACACTAACCTTAAACATTCCAGTTCACGAGACGTGTGGTTTAGACTCGTACAGTTTATGTATATCGCAATATGTAGTACTACAATCTGCAAGTGTTTCTCATGTTGGATGCATTGAATGCAATACTGATATATTTTTTATTTAATCACTTCTAAAATTATCACAAATGGGAAGAAATATAGATGACTTGAACTTTAAGTGAATGATCTTGGCTTGAATGATCCGGGTGTTTGTAAGTGTTCATAAAATATTTTAAACATTGCTTTTAATTTCTTTAGTATAAAAAATTGCAGTTTGGTGTGAGCACTTCCAAGGTGCTTAAATTTCCAAAACTCCTCATATTACCCTTCCCTCATATTACCATAATGAGATAAATAGTGACAAACCGGTCATTTTCTCAAGACAATCCCATACAATCTTTCCAGAATGTCTCTGTACACAGTTTTATGTTATATTTGTCCATACATTTTTTATATTATGGCTATAAACTTTGTGTAGCACTATCCAAGTAAACATTGTAATGTGTAAAGAAACATTGTAAACAACCATAATGAACTCTGTAACTGTAATGTAGGTAATTCTAATTACCTTTTAGGATCCAAAATGTTGACCTTTATAGATACCAAAATAAGAAAGCAAACACAAAGAAGTATTGAAAATAGCATGACACGTGACATCATGCCCATGATGGATACGATAGAAAGTAGCAATGGTTTCAATAAAAATACCACCGCTTTTCATCAACACATTTTTCACACGAGTTTTTGTCTTCTTTTTTCACGTCTACTGATCCCAATGAACCGAAGTTACGTGCTATCTGAAGTCACGTAAAATCTTCTTGGAAAGGTTGTTAGGTGCAGCATCACACACGCGTTAACCACCACCGTTTCCTCTATGGCCTTTGCGCCGTGTGCGTCACAACGAGTAGAAATAGAGTCAACAATGCCACACATACCCGTGTTTGTAGAGGGCAATGATTTTCTACATGTATAAATTATGCGTTACGGCTTGTTTCAATATATCTTATGTATGCGAAAAAGTGAGGTTTCGCAATTGTTGATCATTCTAGCTGTGTGTACAACTCTAAAGGAAATTGGCGTAGTGGACTGAAAATATAAGAATATTTTATATTAATCGCTCAACTTTTCTTGAACGATGACCTTGCTTTCCCCTCTCTGACACAATAAACAATTGAAGACAAAAGCTCGCAGCGTGCACTGATGACAACATTCCAAACACATCTTCACAGGCGCGAAATAGAAACTGTTTTCCGTTGACGTCGAGAACTTCTGACCGTGGTTTTCTCCAAAAAATTTAAACAAATGACCAAAGCATGTGAAGATTCATCGCAGGAAATACCTCGAACTCCTGAGAAAATTATAACGAAAATTATTGAGAAAGTTGCGAAAGTATGACTGATTCTCCAGAGATTGGCATTGCTTCATAAAATCTAGTGGCAGATTTCATAACTAATACCTCCCATCGTTCAAGAAAAGTTGCGCGAGTAATACCAAATGAGGTTATGTATCCTGAACTTCGAACAAAATTGCTCAACTTGACCATATTCCGTAACATATCAACACTTCAAATACTTCAACACTTCAAATCTTCAACACTTCAACACTTCAAACATAACAATACTTCAAAAATACAAAGGTATGCAAGATCATTTAGCAATATACAATTCAAACACTTAATGAACTGAGTTGATCCCCGGTTTAGGGTGGTTCCTTTGGTTTCTTATAAGATTCATGATTTCTCATTAATAGGTACATTTATGATACATTTGTGCAAATAATAATACACCATGCTTTCTAAAAGTGACAATTAATATACAGTTAGTTTTCGATACTGTCAGTATTACTCGCGCACCTTTTTTTGAACAATATATTGTAGAAATGCGGGTAGAGTGGGGGTATTAGTTACGAAATTAGCCACTAGATTTTATAAAGCAATGTCAATCTCTGGAGAATCAGTCATGCGTTCGCAACTTTCTCAATAATGCGTTCTATCTTTCTCAGGAGTTCGAGGTATCTCACGTGCTTCGGTCAGTTTTTTAGATTTTTATGGAGAAAATCTCGAACAGAATTGTTGATGTGTTTGAAATGTGGTCATCAGTGCTCGCTGCGAGCTTTTGCCTTTAAGTGTTTAATGTGTTAGAGAGAATGAAACGTAATCGTTCAAGAATAGTGGCGTTGAAGAATAATGTTGCCAAATGTGAATCCAATGCTTGTGTATTTTAAAGAGTACTGCAGGACTACGATGACTGTATCAAAATGGTCTTGAAGTCATGTTATTCATTGCATTAGCATTATACGAGAAAAGGATTAAAAGCAGCCTTTGCAGCCCTTTTTTACCGCAGCTACAATATTTTCCATGTTGAAGCTATAGGCGGGCAACGGAAAACTTTGAAACTTGACAACTTGCGATTTTTTTTCTACTAAATGTAGCATAAAATGTGGGCAAATACTATTATTTAAAAAAAACGAAGATTACGGAAAGTGGCTTAAACGTTTTCATCACAAAATTCTACGTGTAGTGATCGACTAATTCACGTCTATCCACCACGGTCAGAGCACTTCCGGTCCACCAATCAGAGCAAGTGAGGCATCATTCGACCATTTTCCCGGGTCAATCGAAAGATATTAAGAGTTTTTTTATAAAAGGAGTTTTGTTTAAATTTTAGCGAATAAAACTCGTTTTGGGGGGACTAATGACTACTTCAGGAAAGCTAATTCCCTTTCTGCCAACTAAACGAATTGATTGGCATTATTCTGACAGTGAACTCTCTTAGAAGTTTCTGGAAGAATACTAAACAAAAGCGTGCATTTTATGCGATTCAGTTCACTTTAATTTGTGAAATTGTGAATTCTCAAACTGCCTTCCCAGCACTCCTTGAATCTTTACGACTAGACTGGTCAATTTGACGACAATTGAACTTCATTTTGCAATGAAACTAATATTTTAGAAAAAAACATACTTTTTCATTTAACTTTCTAATCCTTACGATGCACAAAATGGGTAACTGATTATAGTTATAATTTTCACTAAAATTTGCATACCAATAATAAACAACTTAAGACACCAAAATACTCACCTCCACGAGGCTCCACGCTACGCTGGTACATTGACTAATATAATATTTGCACACGATAGAGAAATTGCGTATCTTTCTATTTCGTAAATATTATGAATTTATTTTTAGAAGCACTGTTTTATTAATATGTTAATTTAATTTTAATGAAATCGCCCGCAATGAAAATGAATTTGAGTCGAGATGCAGTGATATCGATAGAGGCGAATGACGTAACTTCCTCTTCCCTCCTGTAACGGTGACTGCTCCGTCCTCAGTGTTGTTGATGCTTCTGTTCACAGTGGTTCGTGAAAAGTGTGTAACTAGTGGCAAGAAAAACAATATTTCTTAAACGTAGGTATTTACATTGTGTGAGACCCATACAAAACGTATTTTAAAGACCTTTGCTGGTTTTAAAGGTCTCATTTTACGTGAAACGTTTTCAGATTTTTGGAATTTGTGGTTTCCACTGTAAACTCTTGGTGGTGCTGGTGCTGCCCACGCGGGCTTCAGAGATCGCGCTCCTCCAATGCTGCGCGGAAGGTAAGTTTCAGGGTGAATTATTTTTTTTGAATTTGGAAAGCTTTTTTCAATTCACTACAGTATCTGGTTACCTCTTGTAGTACTTTTAAGTTTCTGTGTGTGGCTTAGTTCGACTTATAATTGCAAGAAATGTTTCTGAAGAAACAAGGGGATATCAGTAATATTCGTGTGCTTGATGGAAAGGTGCATGCATAAGATGTATATGTAAAATGTATTAATATCAACTTTCTGACGTTTTTTATAATAAATACATGGGTTAATGTTTATTAGATTAAACCTGTAGAAGGGTTGCAGAAGTCTAGCGTAATGGGGAGGTGAAGAGCCAACTAGGGAAGAGATGATAACAAGGTTTCATTAAATATAAAAACAATGCATATTACTTGTCAAGGAGAGTTGCATGATAACCCTAGATTACAATGGCGTCGTCTGTCAGACAACGTAACTCGTGTCGAACCCTTCTCCCATCCCCTTGACCTCACTCCCCGCTTCTGAAACTGTAGGTTATTTCGTTGTGTGGCTATACAGCAAAATACACGTAACTTTGTGCGCGTGCCTATTTACTGTGTACGCCATTTTAACACTCGTCGTCCGGTAGCCTAGGCCTCTGCATTTACGTCGGTGATTTCTTGGCCCTATATTAGCTAATACTGTAAATAATGAATAAGAACTCGTCTTGTAGCATTTAAGTTTTGTTCTAAACATTTAGCAATCATAAGGGAACGATGATTCCCATCGCAGTAATAGTTTAAGAATTTTTCGCTTAACTGAAAATTGTTCGAGTACTCCTCACAGTTTCTGAACGGATTATCAAAATTTGGTTTCGAATAGCCAGATTTGGCCAAGGAACAAAGTTTGTTAGATACGGGTGACCTGTCTGTCGCAAAGTACTATGTGTCCGCAATTAGAAACTACCTGAATAAAGGTTATTGCTGTAATTTCATTCTTTCTCGGTCGTTGTACCAAAATGTTAGTTATGTCGCAAAACATATGCTTAAACAACTTAAAATTTAAGACTTCCATGGCAAATTACGTGTGGTGGCATCATTACCGTGTGCATTAAATGAGAGCAAGATGTGTATGTCATACGCAAATATCGAAATGTTCTTCGTATGCTCGACTACACTTTTGGGGAGTGCACCAAGAAAAGGTGAACCTGATCATTTAAACGATGTGGTTGTCAATTTTGACACTACTTGAATATTTCGTCCTTTCTCCAGTGCTAATACAGTTCTTTTGATGAATTTGGAATAAAATCTTCATACGATATTTCTTCTATAATAAAGAGTTTTTATTTCTACTATCTTCGTTTTTACAGAATATAATGATTCCGATTTCACTGGGCTTCTAATTTCATCAAAAGTCACTGCGTTTTGTTGAATTATATATTAGATTTATAAATTAGATATGTTATTTTCTAGTACTTTCTTCTGAAATGGGCACCATACTTTGAAAGTGTAGGCTTCTAAGGTACACTCTTAGAAATATAGTTTCTCGTACATCGAACATTGAACTTCGAACTACGAAGATTAAATTTATTTTATTGGAGAGCGTATAAAATATTTTAACATCCGCTGAGAGCTAAATAGTATTAGTACAGAGGAAAAATAATTCCATGATTCCTGCCCATGAAATTTAAATGACATTAACGTCTATAAACGTAATGTTCGTTTCAGGTTTCGTTAATACAAAATGTATTGTTATAAGATGAGTATCGAAAGAGCGAAGGAATGGCACAGTGTCAGTGTTATTCTAAAACTCGTTAAGCGGCGGATTTGATTCCGAGTCCTCGTAGATATTTTATACATTCTACAGTGCCTTAAAATCCATTAAATTACAACATCTTTCATTTGTCTTGACAATTTTATGCATCAAGTGGTCAAAATTCGTTTTCGCGAAGAAGGCCAATATTCCAATTCAAAAGATATTAGAAAATTGATCGCTTGTATATGAAATTAAAAATAAGCATTATATGGTGTGGATATAATAATATAATAGTAGTAATATAATAATAATAATAATAATAATAATAATAATAATAATAATAATAATAATAATAATAATCTTAACCCTGCACCATTCGAGCATTTTTCATAACGATTCAGCTAGCACAGCGGTGTTTGGACTGCCCATGCCGCATGAGCAGGTCGTATGAGCAGGACAAATAACACCAAAACATTACAATTCTTTTTAATTAAAAACTAAACTAAAACGTGCCCAACTTACTTGGCACAATCAACATGTGTAAATATTAAATGTTGGCTGATAACTTAATTGAGAGGTCTAGTTGCAACATGAAACCTTTCCACTCTAGTCTGTTTTGAGGAAAAACAAGAAAATGCCATATCATTTGTTTAAAACATTCTGCAGCTAAACCTTTGGGATTAATGCCCTTGGCTAGTGGAAATAAAAACAAAAGTATAGAATAATTCAGGATTATATAGTCACTATGATGAAAATTAGGCTAAAAATTTGGAAAAGTCTCATTTTGGAATATAATTTATATAATTTTTTTTGTAATTTGGTGAAAACAAATATTTTCGTAAACACCCACTTATTTTTCGTAAAGAACAATTCATTAAATATTTTTACAAGAGAGGTATTTTTAGAAATATTCCTTAAGATTTCAATATTTCATGTGGCATTTTTCATATGGCATTTTTCATCAAATATGAAGATCAGCAAAATCTAACAGCTGACTTACAAAATACTTATCATTTTCAGTATCGGCTTGATCAATGCTTAGACCAGTTAAATTTCTACAGAATGATAAATTTTCGTATAATACGGCGCCAAAACATCGTAACACAAGGATATCTGATTGCTGAATGGGAAATATCGTACTTTGCAACGAAATGAAAATTATTGAAAGATCGCGTTCTGATATCAACAAATTATGAAGCCCTCTGGAGTGAACAGAAAACCGCCTTTTGTTACTAATCACTTATCGCATAACTGCAACGGACCTCTATTGAAACCAAGATCTGCTTTTTCACCAAAGGTGGAAAAGTCGCCTTTTGAAACTAGACCCCTCAATTGGCCGATTCTCACAATGTTAGAACAATTTTGCATTTATTTCCGTAGCAGTGACATTTGATGCATTCGGAGATAACGCTCTGGCATTGCCTGCATCCGTTCATCATTCTTATCAGTGTTGCGAAAGGAAACAATCTGAATATGTTTTCCGCACACAATTCGGTGGCAGGTATCATACATAACATCAAGCAACATACGATAGCCTCGGTAGTCTTCAGAATGCCTTGAGTACTTTATCATGTGATTTTAAATTAAAACTAGTAGATTTTCTGTAGCAACCCGTTCAACTGTCTCCTTTGGGAAAGGTTGCCTTCGCGGTGCCGGCACTTTTACGGGGAGAGGAGAGAGGCCCTGAAGGTCACGTTCGCCAAAAGCGACAGTTGCGACGGCAGCTACAGAAGGAACATGCAGGTGTATTTTAAAATCTTAGGTCCAAAAGTACAATTGTATGCAGAAAATACTATCAAAATATTAACATACGCTACATCATTGCAGCCGTCTTTTTATCATCTATTTATTGCTAGTGAGAAAAATAATGGTTACATTTAAAAATCAAAGATGATTAAATATGTCGAAAAAAATATTTCAAGCAAGATCTCCAAACCATATCACTTGCCCCATGATTCCGCATTGTTGAGCGAAAACTGCATGTCGGTATCGTTTAGAAGTTATTAGGGTGGCCCATAGTTGGTGGGACTCCTTGTATGCAAGCAATATATATTTCAGTAATTCGTGCTTTAATTTCGTTTGATAGAAGACATGCCATGTCTCAACATTATTTGTAATTGTCTAAATAAGATGAAAACATTTCAAACGTTGTTAGAAATTTGGCACAATATTTATGCAAGTAATCGAAATACTGAAGTATTCATTTGGCTCAGCGGTAGAATAGTTTCTTCCAGAGCTCTAGGCAGCAGGATCGAGTCTAATCTTTCTCCGCATTTTTTTCTTGCTTTTCCGTGATTTTTTTGCCAAATTAACTGTATGACAGTACTCTATAGCGTAAATAAATTATTTTTATTTTAGAAAAAAATCTGAAATGGGCTCTAATTTCAATGAATATTTGTTTTTAATTCTCCAAATTATATATTGTTTTAATTTTATTATAGATTTTTTACAATTGCTTATTCATAAATATCTTACTCTAGAAAATACATGGAATACATTAACGAAGAATCCAAAAACCCTCAGTTTCTACTACCATTCTAATCCCACGTGGGAGAGAATCCACAAGATGCAAGAGCGCGTCGTCATTGTTAGGTCCCGGATCAGGCCAGTTTTCGGCCATGGTGCGTCTTATCTCTGCCCAAAGATTTTCAATAGGATTTAGATCTGTTGCGCACGGTACCCAGTCAACAACCTCAATATCTTGCTTCTTCGCAAACCACGATTGAAGCGAAGACGACTTATAAATAGGAGACTGGTCCTCTTCATGTAATGTCCGTATGTGAATGTTCTGAGCGGCATTTAAGCGGCCTTCGATTCTATGGATCATTTAAATACCACGAAATGACATCTAGCCCCAATCTGTTTCTGAGAAACGACCTGATCTTGGTACTTGCTTTACGAACAGAGGCTCATGGCGGCTTTTTGAGGCCTGAAAACGCAAACGGGTCCATTATTTACAGAGGAGAATACACTCTCATCAGAGAAAAATGACATCAGCCCAGTCTCCTTGTAAATACTTCTCCGAAAATGTTCTGTCAGCTTCGATTTTCAAACTGCACTTCTGGATCGTAGACCAGCCTCCGAAAGTCTGTTGCGTATGTTCCTGGAACATCCAGGAAATCTGGTGGTTCTTCGCAATTGTGAAGAAGTTTGAAAAGGGTTTTTCACCGCTGCTTTTATCAAAACGTTATCTTGGGCAGCATCTGAAATATGCCAAAGCCCCGTACCTAGCTTCCTCCCGGATTCTCCCGTCTCTCGATAACTTTTAAGGCAGTATTGCGCAGTTCTTGCCCCCAACCCCATACCGACTCGCCGCCTCTGAAACAGAGGTCCTCTTCTACTTATGCGATATGGCGCTTTCGTGTGGCGTATCGTGCTTTCGTATGGTGAGCCATGTCGAATAATGAATGCGGAGTAGTTCAATTTGCTTAGCCGCGATTTTTCTTTTCTTACTAAGTGGCAACGCCGCAAGCCCCTTATCTCCTTTTGACCGGGAGTCAAAAACACGGGAGAACTGCGAAGGACAGACGAAAGTCGGTAGTACCGTGAGGCTTACAAGAGAAAATCGATGTTCTCTCTACAAAAATTAGTTTATTCCACTGGTTTATGAACTAGAATATTGTGGCAAGCAAAAAGAAATCACTGGTATGGCTAATTAGTAGTCTGATGTTTAACTAGAAGCAGTCATATTTTGCGTAAAGTGTTGGTAGAAAGTGTTTTTGAAATGAAAAAAATCGCTATTTAGTGCCATTATTTATTTACAGTATGTATTATATTTTTGTGTATAAAAAAACGTGCATTACACATAATGGATTTTTACATACATCTGAAAAAGATGTTAGCATATTGTTATGAACTCAAATAGTCTAGGAACATTTTCGCCTTCAAAATTCGTTTTCGATAAATTGTATTTTGAAATTAAATTTATTTTATTTTACTTCACACTTACGAAATCTCAATACTCACATAACTGAGGCCCCTCACCCCACCCACCCTAAAGGCAAGGGATCTCAAAAATATTCATCATCAAAAACACCTTATTTACTTCAGTGTAGGCATTGCGAATTGAAAACCTTGTCACATTAAAAATTATTGTAATTGCAAAACATCAACAGTTCCATCATTTTTATTCACATTGTATATCAATAGCATTTGAGAATTTATGCAATCAATTATTATTTTATTTCTATATAGTACAAAAGAAATGTCATATCAAGACAAACAGGAGACGTAAAAACGGATTTAATGAATTACTTACAGATACAAAAGCAAGTCGTTATTTCTTGTCGAAATATCGCTAATATTTTGTGATATTACGTGTTAAACGAATTTTCATTCCGAGCATTCATGAGTGTAATTTCATGATCATTTTTTGTGTTCTGCGGCATGAGTTTTTTCGAGTAAAAGTGAAAATAATAACGCAATGTTTTCGTATTCTTTTTATTCGCGATTGAAGATTATCTACAGGATTATAGAAGATTACATTATTTTGGTCTGAATGCCGAACTTAAACTCCTATTACCACTTTTTAGCATTCCTTATTCGCGATCGCAAATTTTGCCTCAATTACGCATAACATTGACAAGACAAATGTAGGATGTAATTTAGTGAATTTTATGGCACTGTAGAATGGATAAAATATCTATATAGACTGGTAATAGAACCCGCTGCTTCACGAGTTCTAGAACAACACTTGACACTTGAGCAATTCTTTCGCCCTTTTTATACATATTTTATAACACATTTTATATTAACGAAACTTGAAAGACACATTACATTTTCAAAGTTTAGTGTGAATTCAGTTTCACTGGCAGGAATCGCGAAAGACTTTTTCCTCTGTATTACTACTATTTAGCTCTGAATGGATGTTAAAGTATTTTATACGCTCTCCAAAAAAATAAATTTGATATTCATAGTTCGATGTACAGAACGTAGTTTCGAAAATAAACGTTAGAGAGCGCTGTCGGCAAGCAGGGATGTCCAGCGCCATCAAAGTCTTGGGTCAAGGCATTTTCGACGCGAAACTTTGTTTCCAAGAGTGTACCATACATACTTTGTCCTTCATTTTCATGAACGCAAATACTTTTGATGTGATTAATTATTTTCCTTCAAATATTTCTTCTACTATACCATAGGTGTAATAAATTTAGTGTAAAATGTGCAAAAAGAAGCAATTACGAAATAGTGTTGCGTGCCCCAATATGAATATAGAAATGCAATTTTGAGATAAAACAATGTACAAAATCATTTTGAATGGATGATGTTTCACCCAATACGCTTCCCAGTATGTCCCGGACGTTGATTTGCTGTATTTTGTCTGAGAGACGCTGGAGACCGGAAGGTGCAAGCAACCCTTTTGCCGCGGAGTAATGTAAGAGACGTTTGTCCGCCTCAGTTGAACGCGTAGATCGTAGTTGTCAGTGCTTTCTTTAAACTTGACTTGGCAAGAAACATTACCATTTTAATATTGCACGTGTATAAGAAATAGTTCTGCTACTTCCACGCAGTTCGCTACGAAGCCTACTTGTGTTGCTTTCTGCAGAATCATCCAATCAGTTTTGGCACTAATCTCAAATTTAGATCTAAGGCTGAAGTTTCTCTTAAAATACACTTGATTTGGATTGATTTAATACATTTACATCAACAAATTTAGATAGTGTTTTGTGTTACTCTGGCATTTGAATTGGATTTTAAAGCACTAACGTTTCAAAATTCTATTTCTTTAAATCCTGCAGCATTTTTTAAAAACATCAATTCTTTTGGGGTTCTTTTATATTCCGACGAAATCGTTTGGCATTCCTTGTACGTTTTTTGACATAAGTCACATTTATACATTTTTTGGCCTTTTGCAGTTTTCTACTTAGGAAAGATTTTAATGTTCGGGTAATGGTTGCCTTCGATTCCAATGCAAGGCAATATTGAAATATACGACTCTCAACATATTGCATTAAGGAAATCCTATGACGATGGTTGTGATGTCTTAAATTCTTATATTACATTTTTTTAAATTCTGCAATAACATATTGACATGTCCTAGCATATTACAGTTTTTCTGATGCTCAAAATATTCAAAATAGCCTATTATAAATTGTTTTCAGAAGACAAATTGTTTGCGTGTTAAGTTTCTTACCTTTCTGTCTTCCCTTGTTTTATTGTTGGTAGTTTCATAATGGTAATTTCATTTGATGGTTACTTTGCTTTGATTCGAATAAGTTAAAGCTGAGAACTAAGAGTATATCGCAAAAATGCTGTGTTTAATTTTTCAGATGCTCACTGAGAATTTACCTGTGATGGGACGGCTACGAGAATGAATTTCGTACAGACGCCTGAGAGCTGTAAATTTCGATGCCTGCGGAGGGAGGAGATGCAACCACTCATGCTGCACTACAGCGGCAGCAATGGCAAAAGCTGCTACCGACACTCTTCTCAAGTGGTCATCTGCACACGATTCAGAACAAGATGGCAAGATATTCAGCATTCAATGAGACGCAGATTGCTTTTTGGTAGTCACTGAAGCATGTGGAACATACAAAAGAAGACAATACAAAATATGTGAACAAGATTAAGAAAAGCTGTAAATTATACATTGAGTAAGAAGAAATTGACTAATAGGTAAATTATTGTATGAATTGTTTACGATAAGGTTTAATTTTGTATCAATGTAAATAGCACAATCTTCTGAAGACCATAATGTATCATAATAAAAAGGTTTCAAAGATATTGATATCGATATTAGTTTTTATTAATAAATTAAAATTTTTGAAACCCATGAACCATTTTTTTAAATGTCCTTATTCACTGTACTGTATTTTTATTTTACGCCTATTGATGTGATTTGTTTGTAAAATTCATCTAAAGGGCTTTTCACCACTTGTTAAAATACATAAGTATTTGCTAACTACTGTGAAAACAATTGGGAAAGACAGTGTCCTATTTCTTTACCTACCATATTTCTGCAGTAAACAATCGTTTTCTACAGCGAAATGATATAGTTGCAAATTCTACAATAGTGGATTTTACGTACTTAATTTCTCTTACAGTAAAGCCAGTTTTTTAGGTACTTGATAATACTGTTTGGCTAACTGTGTCCTTCATTCAGAGAAAAATGTGTAAACCTAACGGGGGATAAATACAAAAAATTGCCATTTCTTGATCACTAAAGGCTTTGAAATCTATTTTACTGTTTGGAAGTTATCTATGTGACGTTCTTAGATGATTTTGAGAATTTTCTTGAAATTTTCCCAACTTATTCGATTTAATTTCCGTTAAATAAAAGGTGCGGAGATGCGAAGGAGGAACGCGTCCTTTCTTCTGCCCTTGCCTTTGAAATGTTTTGGGTGCGTTTCAACCCCCACCCCATTCTTTACTTTTCCGTACCCAGCGTAGTTCGTGGTCAGTTAAGAGTGTCAATTCTTCATCGGTTGCTGGTGGGCGTTTCACTCATCCGTGGTCTTGATGTGAATTGACAGGTTTTTTTTCTTAGATGTTTCTAATGTTCTAATTCTAGTTCTAATGTAAATTTATATAATTACAAACTTTCCCAAATGTATTCTTTAAAAATACATGATTAATGTAATGGAAATTTACAAAAAATTAAAAGTGCAGTGAGAATTCATAACTAGGGTGTCTGAATATTTTTGTGGTCTCTACATTATTCAAATATCTTATTTTTAATACCTAGGAAGTGTAGTCGCTGTTGGTTTCCAACATAAAACCTCTTTTATACATCACCTTGAGAACTTCCTTTTTTTCTTGAAGAGAAACTCACATTTTTCTTGAATTTTGTACCGGTTGAATTTTGTAATCTTGTTAAAGGAATTAAACTTAACTAAATATTAAATATAAACGAAAATCTACACAACTTTTGACTAAATTACAATATATAATAGCGCGCGAGTAGTTTCTTTGCCTGTGATGAAATAAATCGTCTTCCATAGTTTCGTATGCAAAGTGATATACAGTTCGTAAACATGACTGACACACGTCACGTGATCTTCCGCACTCGTCTGTCTGAAGGCTAAATTTATGAAATAACATTGACACTAAAAAAATATCGTGTTGTAAGAAGTAATTTTTTCGCATCACATTCGTATACAGTGTAGTGCCATGTATGATTGCGAAGGTAACGCCGTTCAGGTGTCCTATACATTTCAAAACCAAAACTGTTACATTGCATTTACATTTTACATTACCATTACCATTACATTTTGAGATACGCAAGTACATAACTTCATACATTGGAAATACATAACTTCAGAGTGATGGTAAAAGGCTATGATTTTAGTTCTTTTTATAAAAAAAAGGGAAGAGAAAAGAAAATAAAGAATTCTTATTTTCTGGGACATGTGCATCATTCGCGGCTTCTGACAACGAATTTTCTGAATCAATACTGTTGAGATGTATTTATAAATTCAAAAGAGCGGTAGCTCTTATATATTTGTTTCATTTCATTTATTTTAAATCGCTTTGCAACTGTCATAAGCGTTCGAAATATCTTAAAAGTTTACATTGTAATAAAACTTACGTATTTGATTACATTTCATATCATTCATTTAACAATTTACACCATTCAACGATGTATAATTTATAACAAGAACAGTGATCTTTTTAACAAGAAAGAAAATACCATATTTACTCTATTTTTCTAATTTTATAAAACAAAATTTAATAATTTTGGCACACTGCGAAGTAGAATTTAATAAAGAATGGATGTTAGCATCAAATCTTAAGTGTTTCCTAAGATCACTTGTGAAAAGACCTTCAACTAATAAATGAGATGTAGAAATAATTTCACACCATTTGACATGGTTCTGGGTTTCTTTTTAAATGTCTCAAATTGAAAGGGGTAATTAGGAGTCTTGATAAAATAACTTGTTTTTTATTGCTGTTGAGGAGGGGAAGAGAAGAATCTAGTATTAAATTTCTAACATGGCGTAATTCTGAATATTTTGATTTACTTTTCAAATTTCATAATCGTAATGCTGATAATAGTAGCAGGTTTAGAAGTCTGAAAAGGACCAGAGATGGAGTTATTAGGTAAAGGAAGTTCATAAGTTCTTTTTTCTTTTGCTGAGTGTTCAGTATTTCCCTTTATTTCTCGGTAAGAAGGGACCCATGTAAGTGTGACATTACAATTATTTTCGTGCAAGGAATGAAGTCGCTCTTGGATTTCTGGAATAAAATGATTTTGTGATTATTTTGAATAACAGATATGATTGCTAATGAATTTGTGAAGATCACCAAATCTGAAAGAGTTCTATTTTGTAGAAAGAAATACAATGATTTTATAATTGCTCAAGCTTTACGGGAGGAAATAAAGAAGTCTGATAGAACTAAACAACTAAAGAAGTTGATATGAAATTATAAAACCTTCAGTACCATCTTCTTTCTTTTGAACCATCTGTGAAAAAAATACTCAATTTGCTTTGAAGTGAAGAAAATTAAGAGAAAATAGCAGATGAGGGTAAACACGAGTAGGAAATATTGTAGAATCTAGATTAATTGAAGGAGTGAACGAAGACCAAGGAGGAATGGGATGTAATATTTTCTAATAAAGGAATGGAGAGTCAATAGCGAATTGAGAAAGAAATTTGGAAAATAATATACGTAGTGATTTTGAAAAAACGAACATTTGTTTCTCATGGTAATGGCAATTAAAGAAATGAATAAATACCAAGATTTAAAAATTTAAATGTTAAGTGCTTTATTTTTTATGCTCGAGTATATTTTTTAGGTGTAGTAATAAAGTATCAAATTTCTTCCGTCATGGTTAGGAAAAATGCAAATGCACTTTTTACTTCAGAGGCAACGAAAAAATGGGTAAATAACTAAAAACCCGGTAGATAGCAATGATCTTACCAGACGATAATGCTAATTGATACATAAATACGGGAGCACTATCCTAAAACGGACCTCGGACCGCACGGGTTCATCACTTTTTATTCCTTGTCCTGTCACCTCCCCTTTCACAAACGCATAATAACTTCATTGAATTACATTACACACACCTATATCGGAAATCAGAGCTTTCTTCGGCGGGGAGGGGTGGTCTATGAGGGGGGATTCTTGAAAAGCGACAAGTAGGGAGGGCAGACGTGCAGGTCGGCGCTGAATGCAGCGGAGGAAAGTAAATCGCCTTTTTCCGGCTATAACATGCCGTACGCTTACGGTCCCAACGATTAAAGTAGTTCACGAGGTACTGACACGAAATACTGACTATGTTTTCAATCGTCCAAGACTATTTTTCGCGCGTCTTTTGTCCTAAGGAAATCTGTGCACACGCGTTGCCTGTGCAAGACATACGAGTCTTCTAAACCGCTTCCTGCATCCCTCAGTGCTAATTGAAATAATATTTTCCTGGATGTGGGTTGAAGATGAGATAACGTTTTATTTTATACAGTGGCTCTCACAATTGAACGTATACTTTTAATGGTACCATGAATTATTCTCATATGAATATTTCTAGAGAAAAAATATGTAATTTTGATATGTGGGGTTTCCTGGAAGGACTAGTGTAATTTGAAAGCTAAAACTGATTCACGAAATGTAAAATAAAATATTTTGTGAGTTACCTGGAAATAAGCGTTGCACAAAAATGAACGTTCGGCGTCAGAAGCGCGCTTTGAAACGTACCCGTCGAAATGTTTGCCTGGGCACAAAGTAGTGACAAAAAGGTTAGTCGATGGTCAGATATGCGGAAAGCAACGACGGTTTATTGTGAATTTAGCCAAGAAAGAAGTCGTTTCAGGTATTGAGAAGGTAGTGGGAAAACTCAGTCAACTATACAAGGTGTAGTGAACAAATTCAAGTACGATGGCAGATTAATTTGTGAAAGTGGTAGTGTCCGAAAATCGATATTCAATGAACAAGAAAAGAGAAATATTGTCAATCACATCAACAGGAATCCTCGCCAAAGTGTTGTTAAAATCACTCCGTGGCTGGTTTCAACAACGGGGAGATCTGAATTCACAGAAGCCGTTCGAAAGAGCACTACGAGACGCGTGTTACAACGGAAGAGTAGACAAGAAGCCTTGTAAGGCCAACCGGCGCAGTAGACTGCAGTTAGCACAATATTACAGATACCAACCTTGGGAGTTCTGAGAAAATGTGATTTACAGCGATTAAAGTAAATTGGAGATATTTGGTTCACAGATCGGCAATAGCTTATTGTGTGAGGAAGATCTCACCCGACAAACTTAGAAGATAAACATCATTTCTGTGCCAACTGTAAAGCACGCAGGGGACTCCATAATGGGTACTGGGGCTAAATGTCTGGCGTCAGGTGTCGGTACAATCCATTTAATTGATCTAACAGTTACAAAATTGAATATTTATCAATTTTAAAAAAAGGAATGTCAAGACGAATGCACGCGAAGCTTGTGGTTCTCGACATATACTCAGCAGAAAAACATGCCCCACCACCACACCGCATATGAGTGATGTTGTGTTATATACTAATATTATAGTAGTATTACGTATATATATATATACTTATATATGATATATATATATATATAGCGCCTTGAAAGGCCGACACAATATCACCCGTTCTCAATCCTAATGAAAACCTGTGGTGGAAATCGGAAAAAGTGTGCATAAGGATAATGTTTCAAATAAAGTAGATCTCAAGAGGTTCTCGCTGCAGAATGGAAGAAAATCATTCCTGAATTTATAAGGTACCTAATAAGATCAATGCCAGCATCTCTGGAGGCTATTATTCGTGAAGGTTTTTCTACAAAATATTAACTTATTATTTTTCGTTTCACTCGAAGACAAATTGCCAGTGTACGTTCATTTTTGTGGTGAATTGTTATGCAATAGAAGAATGTTTTTTTATTATCTATTTACTTATTTCATGATATTTGTTTAAATTTATGAGTGAAGAATTTTTGCATTAATACCTATATTTGTTTTTTTGCCTCACAAGTCTGCAATAAGTATTTTTCAATGTCATTTTGTGTTCTCATACATATTGTACGGTCAATTTTGAGAGCCACTATACTAGTGTGTGGAGAATAAGGCCTTGGAGCAGCGTTCAAAATTGGCTGTTCTGAAACGACACACGGGAATAGTGAAGTTCTTCCTTCCTTTTCCCATGACGTCAGCTGTGACGTAATGAATGACACACTGAATACAAAAATTTAGCAGGTGCGAGAAGTATGAAAACAGGCGAATAACACAATCAAATACTATTTGCATTTTGTGGTGAAAATCGAAACCACTGTATTGTTTTTGGATTTTCTCTAAGTTCCTGGGAATCTACGAGTTTCTCTGAGTTCCTGGGTATCCGTAACAAAATATTGCCACCTATTTCATGCCCAGAGGCTGCCTAGTTTTCGCTCAATTAGTAATATAGAGCGTTATTATTTCGTACTGTTCTCGAAAGTAAGAGGCCCAAGATCCCGCCAGAGCAATCTACTGCCGCTTTGAGTGCGCCCTTCGTGTCAGCCCTCGCGATCTTCCGCTTGGCTTCCTGCGGGCGGATGACGCCGTCGACAGAAAGATAAATATTTTTTATCAGCCCTCGCTGAGCGGCCGCGAGCAATGGCCACCTCGCGTGCGCCTTATCACCCGTTAAAAACGTTGACTTGTACAAACAGCCGCCGACGAGTGATCATTAGCTATGGAGGAGGGCAGGAGGCCGTGACGACGAAACGGTCATCGCTCACCACGGCAGGAGGAGTCGATTACGGATGCATCCCGGTTCCTGGCGAAATGAAGACTGTTTTAGAAGGTTACTCAGCCCTTGTAGACCAGACATATTCTTCGATTAAGACATTAAGTCTGTTAGCACTTGTCAGTTATGACGATGACATCCAATGGGGGCTTAAACGTCACTATAGTTCCCAGTTTAGCCCCTACTTTAGTTCTATATAACACTTCGGGTTATCTTGACTTACTCGACACAAACCTCGGTGAATGTGTCCAACACGTAGAAATATTTGGCTGGGCTGGGATTTGACCTCCATAATGTAGTTT